GGGGGTAGTTGTTTATCCAGTATCTCAGTATGTCTACTGTCACAGTCATTATATCCATCTCAGGCCGGGCTGGCCTTGACAAGCAAAGTTGAAGCAGCTCGCTGCCTAAATGATATAGTTGGTATCCATACAAACGTAAAATATCTACAATTACAACAAAGATCGTACATATAAAAATTGTTCACTCAGCCAAAAAAGTGTCCACGGAAGTGTGCCCATTGCTTCAGATGGTGCTGCAGTCTTTGTTTTGAAGCTCTCTTTCGATTCTCCGGAAGAAGAATAGGAATAGCACAGTTTGTTAGTTTCACTTTTATTGTTTTTCACACGAGCAGAGTCTCTCTGTTCGCAAATTTACTTCTTTTTTTAAGAGGGCGCCACCGAATTTTGAGGACACTTTTTTTAATTGGCACAAAAAGAGTAGTTAACTATCTTGTTATATACGATCTTTGATAACAATTATCTTTATTTTACTTGTGAGTGATTGTTGGGCAGTCTGGTGTAGTTTACTACTTGTTTCCCATCAGACATTGACACACCTATCGTCTACATCGCTCCTCCTTCTTTTGTCTGTGTGACTCTGTCGCAAAACCTCTAATCTTTGGCGTTTGAATGACCTATTTGTGTTGCAAGTGCCTTAGAATTCTTATAAAAACAGAAAACCAAAACAAAAAAAGGTATTTTCTTCAACCCCATAACGTGATGAAAGTGAAAGCAAAACAAATTCCGCAACCAATTCTATTTTTCTACACTCCTATGGTGTGATGGGAAAAAAACAACAATAACAACAACAACAACGACGACAACAACAACAACAAAAAACCCAACTATTTCGCCCAATTGTGATGAAATAAACAAACCTACCAAAAAAACCCAACCAATTCTATTTCCTCTTGTCCCATAACGTGACAAAAAACATTTTTAAAAACAAAACAAAAAGCCATTGTATTTCTCCCGTCCCATGACGTGATGGAAAAAAGCAACAACAAAAACAATACAAAACACACTTCTATTTTCCCAAGTCCCGTGAAGGGATTAAAAAAAAATTAACAGCATCCAATTCTATTTTGCCCAGTCACAGGACTAGACGAAAAAAGAAAACTTTCATTACTATTCTGCCAAGTCCCAAAGCGTAAAGAAAAAATAAAACACAAAAAAATAACAAGCAATTGATTATATTTTGCCCAGTCCCATGACGAGATTAACAAAAAAGAAAGAAAAAACCTCGAAAAACAACAACCAATTCTATTTTGCCCAGCCGCATGACATGATTTTTAAAAAAAATATATATATAATATATATACATATTTTTTTTTTTTTACGAAATCTATTTTCCACCAGTCCAATGACGTGGGGAAAAAAACTACGAACAAACTTCTTTTTTTTTAAATTTGTTTTATCCCAGTCCCATGACGTTGTAAAAAATTTGTTTTAACCTTTTTTTTAAATCTATTTCCCCAATCCCGTGACGTTCTAAAAAGATATTTTTAAAAATTTTTTTAGAAATCTACTTTTCCCAGTCCCATGACGTTCTAAAAATATTTTTAAACATTTTCTTTAAAACTATTTTCCCCCAGTCCCATGATGTTCTTAAAATAAAATAATTTTTTCAACATTGTTTATCTATTTTCCCCAGTCCCATGACGTTTAAAAAAATATTTTTTGAACTTTTTATTTTTAAATCTATTTTCCCCAGTCCCATGACGTTCTAAATAATGTTTTTTTTTACTTTTTAATTTTTAAAATCTATTTTCCCCAGTCCCATGACGTGATGAACAGAGGGCGCGCGCCCCATGACCGCCCAGCCACAGCACAGCAGGGGGAGCATGAGCCGAGGTCAGGGGTCATGCTGGCCCGGCCCGACCACGTACGGAGGCAACAGACCAGCTCTTCAGTGACCCGGAACAGCACTCAGTCAGTTCTTTTTTTTTGGTTTATTTGTTGTTGGTTGTTGTTTTTTTGGGGGGGTCTTCTGTTTTGTTGTTGTTGTTGCTTTTTTGCTTTCTTTTATTTTGTTGTTTGTTTATCTGTTTGTTTGTTTATTTTTTCATCTGTTTGTTTGTGTGTCCGTCAGTTCGTCAACTTGGTTGTTTGTATGTATGCCCGTCTGTTCGTTTTTTCGCTTGTTTATGTGTATGTATGCTGTTGTTTTGTTTGTGTGTCTGTCAGTCCATTTGCTTGTTTGTTTGTTTGTTTGCCTGTTTGTTTGCTTGGTTGCTTCTTTGTTTGTCTGGCTATCTGTTCGTTTGCGTGCTTGTTTGTTTGTTTGAGGAACGAGAAGCCCATCGACATAATAGCGGTCATTTTGATTATGGAAAGAGAATACCGACAGACAGAAACAACAGACAGACAGAAACAACAGACAGGCAGAAACAACAGACAGACAGAAACAACAGACGGGCAGAAACAACAGACAGAAATAACAGACAGGCAGAAACAACAGACAGACAGACAGACAGACAGAAACAACAGACAGAGAAGAAGTAGGACGTACCAGTGGCGCCCTCCAAATACATGCAGGTTTTGCTTTTAATGGGTTTTTAAGTTAATTTTCTTTGAATTGCTTTTTCTTTTATTTAGTTTTCCCCTTTTTCGGGGGGGGGGGGGGGATGGGGGTAAGAGGGATTTTGTTTTTGTTTTTGTTTTTTTGTGTTGTTGTTTTTGGGGGGGGATCTTTATTTGTTTAGATGTCCACTTATTTATTTAGTTTTTGGGCTTTTTGTGGATTTTGCGGGGGTGTTTTTGTTTTCTTGGTATATTTTAAGCATGTTTATCCTATCTGGTCTCCTCTGGTCTGGTCTGGTCTGGTCTGGTCTGGTCTGGTCTGGTCGTGCAGTCTTATCTTATCTTATCTTTTCTTTTCTTATCTTATCTTATCTTATCTTATCTTATCTTATCTTATCTTATCTTATCTTATCTTATCTTATCTTATCTTATCTTATCTCATATCTCAGTGTCCTGTATACGGTCAGCGCCACCGACACCTCGCACAGCTTCAGCAACAGCAGCAACACCACCGACAGCCACGGGAAGCTGAGCCGCGAGGCGAGATTCTACGAGAGCTACAACCCTTCCACGGGCGTCCACACCGCAGCCGTTCTCGGCGGGATCCTCATCTGGCTTGTGCTCTACGTCATCTACAGAACCAAAATCCGGAAGTGCGTCATCACGCTCGTGAAGAAGAAGCTCGGCTCCTTCGACGATATCGACGCGAAGAAATCGACAGATTCCGAGAACAACTCCAACACCGCTTCCAATCCGAATACCGTGAGAGCGTTGATTAACCCGAGTATTATCATCGAGACTTCCCCGCCCGAGAGTTCGCCCAAGTCTCCGAGCACGTACGAGCAGTACATGAAAGGCGGAGGTCACGACTGCATGAGTCAGCACGGCTGTGGGCTGCACGAGGAGAACATGGTGTTTCAGTTCCCGTGCCCCACACACGGTGGGTCTACCCAGCAGCTGCACACCACCAACTGTCAACACCAGAGCCAGCTTCACCTGCAGGTACGTTGTCACCACCCAGTCAACAAGTGGCGGTTTAACTCTTAGTTTTCGTATATATATTTTTAAGAGTATATATATATATATATATATATAAATATATATATATGACTGTCACAATTGAATGATGCCGTAAGCTAGCTGAAGTGGTAAGTCGTATGCTGGGAGTCAAGTTAATGTAAAATCTTATTATTTCACATCCTTATCGATACAATTCAGATATTAAAGATATGAATGATTGTTATAAAAGTTTTAACTCATTTCCAAAGATTTTAACAAAGTGGGAGAGTGCCAGCACCAGAGCTAACCACACCTACAAGCACATCACCACTTCGTCATTGTGCGCTTGTGAATTGTAATTGTCTCCTCGCCACGTTTATGTCATTGGAAAGCGGGTTGAGTTGATTGCACCTGGGTTAACTGAAGCACAATGTCTCCACAGAAAGATGAAAGAATTTGTATCTCTTCTAGATCCTAGCCATAATATGCTGGCTATCAGTGAATCTTTCTGTAAATCTACCTACATGTCAGTTCATCTGTTTTGTTCATTTATTCATCTATCTATTGTAGTTACTCAATTTACCATTACGTAATTGACACCTAAGTTATGTCAATTTCATTTTGTTTGTCTATTTTCTTGTCATTATGTTTGTCTTGGGTAATAGCATAGTAAAGTGTAGGTTCTCCAATTAAGTTAAAATTATCTTTGGACGAAAATGACAAAATAATATGTTGGATGCATAATATATATTTTTTAATCAAAGAAATAAATAATGTATAACACAGTGTTTGACTTCGTAGCTTCTCTGCTATAACACAATATATTTAAAAACAGTCACTGAAAAGGCTCTGGTTTTTGCTTTATATTTCTATTGTATGATAATTAGAAGTTGCTCGAGATTAAATCTCACCAAAACCAAAAGCAAAGATTCGACTCTAACAAGTCACGTTTTCCCTTTCACTCTTTCCTAAATTCAGTCAAAATTGCCCAAGACGGACACCTTGTGTAGATGAGAAAAGTGGTTGTCTTAGACAGGCGGACATCTTGGAAAGTGTCATTATAATGGAAAAAAAACATTAGGGGAAAGTGGGAAGAGGTCGTTAATACAGGTGATTGTCTTAGTTAGAAGATCGTTACACCAAGTTGGGCTGTATTTCAAATTAGCCTTTTCCATCTCTAACTAATTCTAATATAAAATTCATCCCCCATTTTACCTTCCATATAGCTGCCCAAATCGGAAATGGACATCCCTTCGGCCACAGCACAGTGGGTACAGAACATGCCGCTCGCGGCGCGGAGCCATCAAGACTTCGCCAAACTGATGATGCATATACAAAGCCGTGGTCTACTGGCTATGCACAAACCTTGCAGCTGCCCTCACGTGCCGGCAGCGAGCCCCGCCCCCCTCCCGCTACTGGACCTACCCACCACATGGAACAAAAGCCTGCCTGTGTTGTCCAGTAGCGTGTCCAGTCAGCTCATGAGTGCGTACGAGACACTTAATAATAATCACGTGACGAGAACTAAAGATCTGAAGGAACTTCTCAACGCCAAGCGCAGGCAGAGTTCTCAGGAGAACAGAGGGATGAGTATGGATAAAGACGAGGGGCACGACGAGTACCTCAAGAAAAAGAAACATTCCAACAGGAGGCAGAGCAGCGCGGATGTAAAGCAAGCTGAGAATCAGCACAATCAAAGGAAGAAGAGGTCTTCCAGGAACAACCCTAACTTGACTATTCAGATTCCCGACCCGAAGGAGACGGCCACTCTGATCAACAACGCGTCCGTGAACCGTTCTCCAATGCCCATCCCTGTCACGCCTACTGTCATGATACAAAACTCCGCCCCCAAAGTCCCGCCCAGGCGTCAAGGGTGCGGGGGCAGTAACACATCAATCAGTTCCAGCTCATCCACCGATCTCCTGTTAGGCCCGCCCATCGTCGCGCCAGTCCAGATCTCATACCCCGCCCCTTCTAGTCGCATTCCCTCCCCTCACCTTTTATCGCCCGCCTGCGACACTCGGACTCATGGCGGACATCGACGAAACAGTCAGCACTTCACGTGGAGCCAGGAAGACCTCCATCGATATCACAGCACTCCGGGAAATCTACCCGCCCCCTCCCCCACGCCCCGCCCCCCAGCACAACACCCGTGCGGGCTTAGTGGTCACCAGTGCTCATTCAAATACAAGAAACGTGATAATAAGTGTGTGAGCCCGCTGGCAACCAGCAACTGTCCAGAGATGAGGCGGTACAAAAGTTTAAGTGACCAGTACTTCCAAAACGTAGCAAACGCAAATGAGAACGCGAGCAATGTGAATACACTGGCACAACATCGCCGCAGCATGAGTGACTACGGTAGCGAGACTCCCGACAACAGCCACTTCGTCCGACGTCATCAGCGGAGTCTCTCAGCAGACGTGGCCTTCATGAACCTTCAGAGAGACCTGGGAAGTCCGACCTACTCCAACGGAAGCAATAAAAACTCTCTGCCCGCCTCGTCGCCTTCTCCCAACCGGCTCCAAGTCCCCGATCCGAGTGGTTTCTATAGGCCGGTCAGTCCAGAAGTGGTCAACTCCAACATTAACCACAGGACGGGGACTGTGTTGGTGGGTGGTGGCGGGAGTGGTCGGTATTCCCCTACAGCGCAGAGCGCCCTCATGCGGCGGTTTGTTCACTCGGACAGTAATCTGGCCTACCTCAGCGACCAGTTCTTCCCGGCGTCGGGTCTGTGGCCAGATAGCACGGCGCCAGCGACACCGCGCCGACACAGTAGTACCGTGCAGCCCTCAGTGGTGGACTCGAACTTCTTGTACTGCTGCGAGACCTCCTCTCGTCCCACTTCCTCTCTCTCCCGACACTCTCTCCTCAGTCCAGCAAGCCCACCTTCTCCGTACCCGGCCTCGTCAGCCTCGCCACAGTCTCCGCATCTGAGCCGCCACCATCACCATCAGCAACAGCA